CTGCGCCCGGGCGGGGCGGTCCCGCCGCCGGCGGAGGATGGTCGGCGGGTGCGACTCCCGCAGCCACGCGAGGCCGACGGCCTGGACGACGGCCGCGGCGATGCTGGTCGAGTAAAAGACCCATCGCCACGTCGAGTACTGCGCGATGAAGGCGCCGGCGATGGGGCCGATGACGGGCCCCAGCATCGGGCCCAGCGTGTACGTGCTCATTGCCTTGCCGCGCTCCTCGGGCTTCCACATGTCGCTTTTTTTTCGTGCGTGTCAGCTAAGTCGGAGACGATTGGGGGCTCTTGTGACGTTTCCCCTACTCACCTCACTGCGCCGCCGCCCACGGCCAGTGGCGCGCTGCCGCCAATGCCGGCTAGGAAGCGAAAGACGAACAGCTCGGCCTTGGTGTTGGCAAACCCGCACGCCAGGTTCCACGCCAGGTACCACAGGTTGGTGATGTGCAGGATCCTCACTCGTCCGTACAGCTCGCTCGCGGGGCCGAAGAAGATGGGTCCCACGGCGTAGGCGAGGATGAAGATGGCCAGGGAGAGATACACCTCGACGTTGCCCTTCATGTCGAGGCTGCGGCCGAGGTCTTCCAGCGCGGGGGCAATCATGGCGCTGGAGATGGGGGAGATGAAGACGAAGAGGGAGACGGTCAATGTGGTTTTCCACTTGGTGGGCCGGGGCCAGTTGCGCGGATGCTCGGGGTCCGAAGGCGTCCATGCTACGAGGTTTGGGTCGGGGTTCTTGGGGGACTCGGAGTCTGTGTTTGCGCAAGACGGTTGCGCGGATTCGGGGTCCGCATTGTCGGCGGGCTGCTTTTCAGCCATGGTGGTTTGACGGCCTTGAACAGGAGAGCAGGGAGTGAGTGCGAGGGCCGCCAGCTGTAGGATGGATGCATTGGCTCCAACTTTGGAACAAACGTGTCCAGGTGGTGATGCATATATATACATGGACGTCTCGCGATGGGCACTTACACCGTACACGACCGGCCGCTTGAGCGGGTCCGGCCAATCAGGGACTCTTGTTGTTGTTCGGGCCCGATGAGGTCGGTCAGGGCCGAGGAATCAGCCAATGGCGTGGGCGATTTCTTCGGCCCCGTGTCTTCGCTTCCACCCGGGATATTGTGCCAAGTGACAGCCGGACTGGCAGCTGGACTGACACCTGAAAATCTCCGAGAGGTACGGAGTACATGTGCAAAGTCACAAACCCACATCACGCAGAGTCAACAATGGCTGCTTCACAAAATGGGCAAAAGAGCGCAAAGTATTAAAGAGCATCACGTCATTATTAAAAAGAAACAAGGGAAAAAACACGCCTACACAAACCATCGGCTTAATCCGTCTTCTTCTTGGTCTCCCTCGCAGCCTTCTTCTCCGCCTCGCTCACAATCTCCCGCGCCCTCTTCTCCTTGTCCTCCAACACCTTCTTCAAATCCTCAACCGTGTCCTTGAGCAGCTGCTCCCCCTCGTCCCAGTGCTTCGCCGCCACGTCCCCGATCTGCCGCAGCTTCTTCACCACCTCGCCGCCCTGCGGAACCGCGTCAAAGTACTTCTGCAGCCCGGAGCCCTCTGCCGCCTTCCTGGCCTTCTCAGCAGCGCCCCGTACGTACTCCTGCAGCTCATCCACGCTGCCCGACCTCTCAGCCGAGCGGAGCCGGTCAAACAGCTGCGACAGACTGCCCTTCTTCAAAGCCTCGGCATTCTCCTCGAGCAGCGTCTTGACCTGGGGGTTCTTGTCCAGGTACGGCTTGGCCGCCTCCATGCCCCTTTTCCACGCCTCGTCCCCCAGGCCCCTGACCTGCTGCGCCCTCTCCTCGAGCAGCTTGCGCGCCTTGGCCAGGCTCTCGTCCGACACGCCGCTGGCCAAAACGTCCCTGAACTGCGCCCACGTCTGGTCGACCTGCTTCTTGGCCTCGGGGCCGTAGCTCTCCGCCATGGCCTTGAGCTCGTCGATGCTGCCGCCAAACTTGTCCTTGACCCGGGGGTGGTTGTCCAGTATGTCCGAGAGCGCGTCCTTGGACAGCTCCGCGATGCGCCTCGACATTTCGGCCAGCACGTCGACGGCCCTCGACGCCGTCTCCAGGCTCAGGCCCGCCTTGGAGACGTCCCCCAGCTTCTTGTACGTGTCGTTGACGATGGCGTCCACCTCGTCCTTGTGGCTGTCGCGCACCGCCTCCCAGTCCTTGAACGCCGCGTCCACGTAGCCCCTGCCGCCCGGGATCCACGCCGGGTACGAGTAGGCGAACCGCTTGATGGACTCGACGGCCTGGTCGGCGCTGGGCGGGCTGCTCTGCAGGGCCTTGGCGGCCGCGTCGTACTTGCTCGCGGCCTCTGCGGCGGCCTTGTTGAGCCTGGAGGCGGTGCGGCCGGCCGGCGTGAACGAGTAGACGCCGAACACGACCGCGGCGCCGACCACGCCGCCCACGACGCCGGTCGCAAAGTTTGAGCTGGACGGCGAGGACGAGGACGAGGCGGTGCTGGTGGATTGGTAGCGGAGCCGGCGGGCGGGCTGGGGGAAGCGCGCCCGTCTGGTGACGAGCCGGGGCAGTTGTCTCGACAGCATATTGAGCTCCGGCGACACGGGGGGGAAAACCTTTGGTGAGTGCGATATCTTGCGTGCGGTGGTGGTGTGCTCAACTGGTGGGTTGGGAAGACGAAGATCAGGGCTCGATTGAAGTATTTAAAAGCTACAGCTGGGCGTTGGCAGGGACAAAGAGATGACTATTGCCCATTAATGACACATGATTCACGCATGTTGCAAGGCACATGAGCAGGTTTTGCTCATGGCCGTTTATAGACAGCTCCGGGGAGTGGGTTTCGAAGCTCCTCAATCGATGACGTCGGCGGAGGCCGATGCGCCAACGGCTAAACTGCATTTTGTTGCGCCCGGACTGCGCTCCGTATCCCTCCATGTCCATTTGAACGTGCCAAGGTGTGTTTGTCGTACGAGACCAGGATCCGGTGCAATATGAAAACTCATCGTCGGAAAATACCGAGCTCTACTAAGGGCTAGTCATTTCTAGTTACTGGTTTACAAAGGCTATCTACTCCGTACTAGTTGGGTGCTTTTTCTTGTAGTAACTAAACGCTACACTTGCAAGGCTTTGGGCAGTACGCAGTACCGTCGACCTTTAAAGACAGAAATATGGGGCCGTTACGAAATTCAAAAGGATGCAGGCTCAATTGGGAAATGAGGAGCTATAGCGATTGGGATCTAGACCTGTGCAATGGTTGTTACGTCATACTGTTTCACGCGAGATTTCCCCAACGGGAACGGCTCGCGAGTAGACAACCCTACACGGCAATACCCGTTGCCAGAGCGCTGCGGTCGCCAAAGAGAACGAGTTCAATGTATGGCTAGACATGTTTACCTTGGTCATTACGTCTTCAGGCTCTTCTCGACATGCCCCAGTCTCGAATTATTAACGTCAAGGTCAAGCCAATCTGGAATCCTACCTCCATCCCTCTCATATCCATCTCCTTGAATCGCTGCACTGAAACACCATCTTTCCATAGCCACAAGTCTTTCGTCTCCATCTGCCACTTCTCGACTGCTTCCCACATCTGCTTCAACACTGAATCATACTCCAGCGTGCCCAGGTTGTGCACCTCCTCTGAGTCGGCTTCCAAATCGTACAGCTCCTCCGGCGGTCTGCAGATGTAGCTCTTCAGCGGCCGCTTGCCAATACTTGGCGGCGACGTATTCCGCATGGCTTCAAAGGAGAGTGATGCGTACACGTCCATTGCGAATGGAAAGCCGAGCTTCTAGCACACATTGCGGTGGTATTTGTACCGCCGATTTCGCATGTATCTCGTACGCCAATAGTTGGTGATTTCGTGGAAAGTGTCTGAACCGAATACGTGATCCGTCCTTCTTGGATGGTAGTCGAGTCCACAATTGATAGGATCGATCATCCCTCACAGGATCCAACGCAGCCTTCAGACGGCTGGCGATTACCTCGACCTACCTAGTCGAGGAGCGTTGCCAAAACATCAATATATGACACCACGTTCTCGTTGATGACGCCGGCGTCCTTTCCTGGCACACGAATGATGAATGGCAACCGCACGCCAGCGTCATAAATTGTAGTCTTTGAGTTAACAAACGGTAGTCCGTTACCGCTCAAAGAGTACCAAGGTTTCGTCTGCCAAGCCCTGTCGCTCAACAGCCTCCAAGACAAGGCCGATCCCCTGATCCATTCGGTGAATGGGGCGGTAGTATTCTGCAAGTTCTTGTCTGACCGCCGGAAGATCCTGCACAAATTGGGAAACTTCAACTTCGATGCGGCTAAAAATACAATCCTCTAAGCGGGCATCATAATTACCGTCCACATTCCCAAACCCTCCACGACTTGCCGGCACTCGGTGAAGATCAACATAGCCCATCGTCAGATAGAATGGGCGATCGTCTTTTTTGGCTTCCACGAAGAATTCCTCAACCCGGTCTGCAAACATGGCTGTGATTCGAGAGTCGCTCTTTTGCGCGTTTGTCACGAATATCTCTCTTCCTGCGCAGCATGAAGCTTGTCCAAGATACCAGTTTTGCAGCCAATATCGTTGAAAACCTGCGGAGCGGTTTCAGCATTCTTGCATGTTTGAAAGCCATTGGGTTCCAATACCAACCCGTAGCTGTCATTTTCATGCGTATGCAATCCCGTTTAAACGGTTGCCCTACTGCCGCTACATGAAGCCTCACTGGCAAAGGCCATGTCAAAACGAGAACCTGATGGCGCAAGCGAGTCGAGGCCTGGTGTCTGTAGCGCTTTACATCCATGCGTGCCAACTTGCTCCCACCCAAGATCGTCCGCAATCATGAGCAGGACATTTCTTTTCTGCGCCATGGTTCTGGGGTTCGTGCCAGGTTCTTAGGCATGTCGAAGCGGCGGCTCCAGGTTTCAAGTTCAACATCAGATAGCACTAAATCGCTTCGGTCCAAGACTGCGATACAGAGTCGTCCATATCCTCGTTGGAGACGGAGCCGCCCATTTCCATGATTCCGTACATGTCCCAGGACAAAAAGCTTTGCAAGTCGTCGAGGTCAAGCGCATTACACATTGGTTGCGTTGCCCCAAATTTGCGAAGTGGATGGAGCGGAACTGGTCTCTCATGCTGCAAACTGGATCGAACCGACTGTTCTTGGCTGAGGCCTACGAGCTGGTGAGCCGCAGCACTGGTTCCATCCCAGGACGCCGGCCCTCCAGCATGAGGATTCTGAGTGCTCCAGCTGGCGGTTGGTGCAGCGGCATCACCATCCAAGCCACCGGATTCGGTGGTCCCGGAGCGAGCGAGTGAATGAAGAGAAAGGGGAGGGAGATCGTAGTCTCCCGGTTTGTCCTGCTTTCCGCTCGCGTTGTTTGGTCTATGCGCCAAAACTATCAATGTTTATTCTGTTGAAACTCATAGTTTAATAACTTACAAAGCTGAGTGGTGAGATTCAAGATGGTCATCCGCTTCAAGACTACTCAAAAGGTCATCGCGAGCCACTGTTTTCTGGACCTTGGATAGCCATCGCTCAATTGTTGCAGACTACAAAATAAGGAAGAGGTTAGTGCGGCATAAAAGGGGTCGGGGCCTCGACGTCTTACCAATGACTGGGCGATTGGAAACAAAGCGGACATCATTCCCAGAATCCTGTTGTTGCTCTCCACCGCCTTCACCGCATCTCTCAGCTTAACTTCTGCATCTGGTCTATTGGGGTCCAGCAGGCGGGCAACGTAGTATAACATGACGCGACTGCTGTCGTAGACAAAAAATGGCAACAAGCTGTCTGAGAGAAGTCGCGAACCGTGCTCTGCAGCTTCCGCTAGTATATCCGCGATTTGCTGGGCATGATAATAAGCGTTGGCTTGGGCTGTCTGAAGGAATTCCTGGTGTTCTGGAGGGAACGTGAAGGGCTTGGGAAGTTTAAAGAGGTCGGGCATGGTGAGCTTGAAAAGTTCCAAGTAATTATGGTGATAAGTGCAGTGAATGAGCACAAGTGCACCAAGTTGGTTTGAGTCCAGCCGTGCATAAATTGTTTCGGTGGTGTACTCGACGAAATCTGGCAACTCTCTTCGCCATAAATGCAAGTCTGCATCCAATGCCGCGAAAAGAGACTCTGGCTGCCAGGGAGGTGGTCCTGCATGTAAGTGATTGACATATCGGACTATTCTTTTCCACAATGTCACAACTCGGATATAGTAAGCCATGATGCCCATGTTGGCTGCGGGTCGTCGCGGAACGATGGCGGGTGGGAGAAATTGCAAGACATGGCCGACACCGAGTGTCTCGGTGACAGACGGTATCCTCAGCCCAAAGTTTCGCTCGTTACTGGGAAGCTGAATTTTAATGTCATTCTCTCGTAGCAAGGTGAGTTGATCGACACCACTGCCCGCCCAAGCATCAAGGACATAACAAGCCCACATAAGTCGTCGTCTACTCTCTCTTGACGCTACCGAGGGTGCATTACTATCCTCCTCGGTGCATAGAATGTCCGAGTTATACTCGGTGTTTATCTTCAGGGCATGGGCCATTCGGACAGCGAGGCCGCTAATCATGAGCGCCTGGCCATATTCGCCAAGTCGGAAATGAAAATCATGAAGAAGAATTGCCGTCTATGGCCTGGTTAGCATCCTCATTCGAAGAGCCACCGCGACTTCTTACCATGAGTCTTTGGACTGAAATCTTTCCGAAATTGGCCAGCATCAAAAATTCAGCCCTTTTCGCCCATTGATTTCCTGCATTCTTTAGGTATGACGGCGGATGGTTGGCTTCGCCTGGTTCAGTGCTCAGAACGAGAAATCTGGACAAACCAATGGCGTCAGTGTCTGCGCTTTTCTCTCAAAAATAAACTGTTGCAAAGCCGACTTACTTTGCACCGTGTGCACAAATGACGTGCAAAAGTGCGGACTCATCATCAGAGCTGAAGCCCTTGTCAAGCTGGCGCATAAACGACGGCTTGTGTACAAATGCGAAGCATCGGAGAGGATGGACATTAGAAAAGTACTGTTCAACCACCCGGCGGAGGTTCCGAGTTGCCGGTAAGGCAGGAGATAGCAACCTGGGCGTGAGATGGTCAGCGACGTTTAAAGCCGACATGTTTAAAGGCTCCCATCATGACCTTACCATGCTAAGGGATGCGAGCTCAACTGTTCATTTGATCCATTCTGCGAGGTTGCACCCGTAACGGACGTCGCAGCAGCTTCGGACACAACAGAAGCTTTTTCGGTAGCGTCATCTGATACCTTGTTGACGCTCCCTCGGACCGATCCGCGCTCATCCGTCTCAGTCGGCGTGATGCCCGTCATGCCATCTCGCTCCGTCGGACTGCCATCATCCTCATCGACGGAAGCCGCCTGTGATCGGTTCAGATTGCGAGTCCATCTCGGCGCAGCGCCGCCGTCGTAAACACACTGAATCAGCTTCGCAGCACACCGGGCGCACTTCGGCCGGTCGCCATTACACTTGGTCTTTGACAAGCGACAGCTCTGGCAAGACCGATACGTCCGGATTTTCCTCAACGACATGGGCGACAGCGAAATTCGGTTCCCGTTTGGAGTAGATCCATCGTCAGCGACACACTCCAGCCGAAGCCGCTCGCAATTGCGGCAGCCATTGGGGCGGCCGTCACATTTGACCTGCGTGTTTGGTTAACCTTTCTTTTTTTTTTGTCTGCGAGTTCCACCAGCAGCTTTCCTCTTTCAGGAGCTCTCCTACCTTGCGCGCACGGCACACTCGACAACCCATCTTCAGCAACGCCGCAGCCAAGAAGATATTTCAAGAATATAGATTCACACTATACACATGATTAAAGGCTGAAGACCAAGTTCCGACACACGTCTGGCCGGATGCGAGAGAGACCAGAAACGCATCTTCAACGCAAATTGTCACGTCAGCGCACCAGAGACAGTAGGAGCGACCGACCGAGGCCGTACCTCCAACTGTGATTGGTCCACAGGGCAGCAAAGCACAGCGAGGGCCCGACTTCCGCGGCTGACGCTAGCGATGGTCCTGGTGACGTGATCGAATGCTGGCCGCTGCTGGCCACTGCTGGCCATTTTAGGTGAAGGCGTCTTCTCCCATCATGGTTGCGTGCTGCGGAGATGCGCACAATATGCTTTGCCCGGCCGGGGGAATGTCTGGCGCCTGCGGATGTCTGATAACTCTGAAATTTCAGTATGTATAGGTATACACTGTACTCCGTAGATTATTTGATTATTAAAAGCATGGCGGTAAGAAATAAAGGAATAGCAAACGCACAAATGATGTGTCCCTCCCATTGGCCGATGGCCCACGGGCATCTTAGGTACTAGTAGGTACCTGGGTACTTGATAGCCGACACTCCGAACTTATCTTCTGCACAACTCAACTTCCAAACAGCTCTGCTCGTATATTACCGAGTACACCGACTGCAAAGCTGTTGTCCGGTAAATGCCGTGCTTCTGGACGATGAGCTGATCTCTGTTCCCTTGTTCTTTGCACTAGACACATTTTGTACTTACCATTCATACAGGACGAAAGTCCATCGAGCCACCCTGAACGAGAATCCAAGCCTACGAGCCCGGTAACCTGGAAGAACATCCTCAAAGTATACCAAGAGCAAACTAATAAAACGGCGAAACCTGTCTTTCGTCTTCCCTGAACTGAAATTCCCGAACCGCCGTGTCTAATACCTGCATGTCCCCGGCCATCCTCTTACGTTGGTGGGGACACCGCAACACTGGATTGATCATTGTTGTGATGCTCTCCATGGCTGGCAACAACCTGTGTTTCGAATCTGTGCGTGACCGGTTAAATTGTACCACTGATTTCGGCCCTAATTCTGATATCCGTAACCGCTGATACAAACATGATCCCACTTGTTGCCGTGAAACGCATCATGTACTGTTCTTGTACTCATATGCGCCTTGTCGGTAGAGAAGAGGTGATATGCCTCGACTCCAATACGGCACTTCATATTTGGTTGAGGAATAATGTCAAGTTCGGCATAGCCCGCACTGGGTCTGCTGACGGGACAACACCGCGGTAGATAGCCAGTCGCCATTGACGAGTTTCTAATGATCGTTGTCACGGCCACTACATGCGTCAACCATCATCTTAGAATTACAATACTTTATGGGAGCCCCTGCATCTCATGTGGCAATTACGTCCCGGAACTTTTCGTTTTGCCATTTCTCGCACCTCAGCTACAATTCGGTAGCAATGCTGAATCCTCCAACAGCCGCATCATTTCATCCTTTTGAATATGGAAATCAAAATCCATGCCATTATGCGTCCGCGGACCGGCCATTTTCCCATCTCTTGGAGCCTCATTAATCAGCACAAGTCCGTCCATATTCGGCACTACACCATACACACATCGCAGCGACCCCAGACCAAAGTCAACATCATACACTCCCGACCTAGCCCAGCTTTCGTCCCAAGAAACCCTGCCAAATCTGCTAAGGCAACGTTTCATATGCCACGCTGTGCAAAGAGCCGATATGTGTGACAACTGTCCCATGACGCCTATCGCTTCCCGGATGCGACAAGCTATGTGACGTAGATGACGCCCCTGCCCCCCGTCCCAGCCACGTCAGGCGCCGCCATATGAATATTGTTCATGAACATTGGCGACCCTATAAAATTACTACCCAACTAGAGCCGCGACCGCACGCCATACACTAGGTCGCAATATATGGAGATATTGTTTCCGCCCTCCGTGCTCGTGCTATACACGACCAGACGTGTGCCAGGATGGCGTCATGCCGGCTCATGCCATTTGAATTGCCGTTATTCGCGGCGTCCAAAGGCACTTCGACCTGCTCTCTAGTGAAGCGAACCAGACAACGGTATACAGTGGCACGAACATTCCATTCAGACCACGGCATTGCTTCCCCAGCAGGACGAGATTGTCGGAACGGCTTTGGGACGCTCATTGGCCAGGGACAAGTAGCCGCCGACGGCCACCAGTCGTATTTATGTACGGGCAGCCCTCGAGCAGCTTTGATAAGCTCGGGATCCGGGTCTTGGCTATCGACATGGCCCGCAGCCAGATCGTCCAGCTTGACGGATCAAACATGGGTCCCAGCATAGGTTCAACACGTCCCAGAAGAGCGGCGCGACTAACAGAGGCCTGGTCCTTCAAAAACGTCGCCAAGGCAGTGACGTCGGCCAAAGGTTGAGCAACCTTGACGGCTCATGCGAAGCCACCGCCGGCCAACTCTGTAAGTTGAATCGCCATGACGGGCGGTAGCACATCCTTTCCACTACCTTTGACAATTTGAACGGGTCCGCAACCGCCTCTTGCCAAACAAATCTGCTCGATTCCGTCGCATCCGCATCACAAACTGTGCGGACTGGCGATCGAAAACGCGGAACCACCTTGTGCAGAAATAATTCGCTAGAAGCACTTGTAAATGCGACGCCGGGGTCTTTCTCATACCCGAAGCTGGCGTAAATACGCCCAAAGCGTCGAGAATGGGCAGGCAGATGGCGTGCGTCGTCGGGAACGCTCCCATCAGCGGTTGTGACGGCCCTGATCTGGCCAGCAAACTTGGGGTATGCCTCAAGATTGACGCCGAGCGTAGCTTAGAGGTGCTCCGATACGCTGAATTTCTAGCGCTGATCTTTCTCCAGCTCGTGAAAGAGCCATATCGCACTAGTGAGAGCAAAGTTGGCAGTGGTAGCATCCAGAAGCGAGAGGGGCGTAGTGCAAGGCTCTGCTTTTGATCGGGCTTGTATTCGGCTTGATCTTTTGAAGAGCATACCCGAAGATGATTCATTGGCCCTAGTTGGCAACAGAATGAATAGAATTGACTTGTGTAAAAGATTAAAGATGACAAGGGGCGTTGTTATCGCTAGACGAAGGGAGACGAATGGTCAACGCTGGTAAAAACGTCTATGATACCAAGCTGTTATTGAATACTATTCACGCAGCAAGAAAGAAGGAAATCAACTTTCTATCATGTACTAAATTTGGAATCACCAGATAATCTGCGTCTAGCCCTTGGTTCTAAAGTCCTCCACGCCAGCAAAAGTCGACGACACACGGGACAAACGGACAAACCTGCTTGGTGTAGTTTCCTATTCGGGCGAGCTCGAGATCGGTGGGGCCGAATATCTGTGGATGAGCCATTGTGGTCCACCGGCGAGTGAATCCTGCTCTGCCATTATGATGTGCTGCTCGACAACGACGACAGCCCGGCTGTGCCGAGACATCTAGAATTGGAAGCCGGGAATCAAATAACTGTCTAGTCAAGCACTTGGTGCTTGTCATGTCGCCGGCCATTTTATCAGAAGTAGAGTTCTGAATTGCCGATTTGGGTGTTCTATTTCATCCAAGTTGTATGGTCGAAACAGCTTTGTCCTGCTAGCGTTTCGTGATTAGTGCCAAGTATCGCACACATCCAATGCCTACATTTCTGGGATAGGCCATATCTTCAGATGAGATGCCCTGGCTGTATTTCTGCTTCAATTTCCACTTCACCAGGCCATCACAGTCGATCCCATATTGGAGTCAAGTCCTGAACAGAAACGTTACAGCTGGCGCGATCCGGCACCACTATGTACTCGAAATGAACTCAATTCGCTTTTCATCCCCCGTCACGAAATTATTCTTCCATGTCCTCATCCTCCTGCTTTGCAGCCTCCGCTTCCTTCTTCGCCTTATACAGCGCCGCCCAATCCTGAGCCTTGGCCATGACCTTGTCCTTGCCCTTGGGATCCAGCTTCTCCTCCCACTTGACCCATCTGCGGAACCACTTCTTGGCCTGGTTGGGCTTGAGGCCCTTCACGCGTGTACGTCGTTCATATACGTCACGAACAGCAGTCGGATCAGAACCAGCAACCCCCTCTTCAAGATCCAACAACCAACTCCACAGGTCTCCCCTCTTGGGCCAGGTGGCTAGCAAGCCTTCAAACATGGTTCGACCACGTTCTGGCTCGCCATTCGGTGAGCGGAATTCAAGGGCAGCGAATTGGCCAACGATATTTTGACTGTGATGGGCGGGCAACCGCTGAGTTGCTCGCGGTAGCAGAGCTCTGGCGCGGTCCGGCTGGTTCCTTGCAACGGAGAGGAAGTAGGCGTAGTTTGTCCATACGCTGGGTGCCTTGGCGCCAAACTTCTTCAACATGGACTCGTACAGATCATCGGCATCCTACCCATGTTAGTGTCTGAACTGAAAATATGATTTCAACGGGGCGGCACAAACCTTGAGCTTCTCAGACTGGATGTAGATGCTGGCCAATTCCTCGTGGACTTTCAGTTCATCATTGTACTGGCAAGCCCGCTTGAATACGTCTTCAACCGTCTGTTTAGTGCCATACCTAACTTCCAATTTGAGATAGGCAACCCAAACTTTCAGCTTCTCTTCCTCTTTGCGAATATTGATACTCTTAATCGCGCGTTCCGCTACTTCTCTTGCCTTTGCCAGTTCGCTAACTTTCATCTGGAATTCCATATATTGAATCCAAAGCTTCGATGAATCCGGTTGACCTAGCAGTAGTCGCTCGTAGTCGCTAGAGGTTTGTGGGCCGTGGGCATCAAGTTCGGCTGTGCGGTCGACTTCGATTTCTCCCTTTCTCCGCTTCTTCTTCGTCTTCTTGTCGCTATCCTTCTCTTGCGCTTCGTCCTCTGAATCGGAACCAGACTCGTCGAATGGGTCAGCGGACCAGGCAGACTTCTTGCCAAGACCAAGACCACCAGACTTTTTAATGGGCGCGTCCTCCATTTCCTCATCCTCGTCCTCGTCGCCTTCTTCTTCGCCATCATCAATTTCTTCCTCTTCCTCATCGTCATCGTCGTCATCAACGCTATCGTTGCCCAAAAGCTTCCCAAGTAAAGCTTTCTGCTCCTCCGACATTTCCTCATCATCGTTTTCCTCATCGTCCTCAAGGGCAACGCCTCCAGCGTCCGAGTCGTTCGATTCCATATCGGTATCCTCGTCAAACAAGGAAGGCTTGAGGCCAAAGCTAATTCGTCGCTTTACAGCGTCAACCTCCAAAACCAAAGCCTTGACAGCATCGCCTTCTTTGTACAGCTTGGTGGCATCCTTGACGGCTTCGTCAGCCATCTCGCTCCGATGGCAGAGACCGCTGACATTGTTCGAGTTGTCAACCAGAATAAAGGCTCCAAACTCTTCAACCTTTCGAACCTTGCCGGTGACGACAGAACCTTCCTTGATATCATTATAAGAAACTGGCGGTGTGTAGTCTTCATCGACTGCGGAAGCCTTCAGACTCATTTCGACCTGCTTTAGGGCGCTGTCGACGGAAAGAACACGACCCTTGACGAGCTGATCAACCTGAAAGTGATCTTTCCAATCCTTCAAGAATCTATCTGAGAGATTGGCGATCTTAACCAGAGCTGTAATGTGGCCACCGAGCGCGACGAAAAGGCCTTTATCAGACACATTTTTGACAAAGCCACGAACCACATCGCCAGCTGCAACTTGTGACAGATCCGCAATTTCCTTATCGGCTACGGGCAGGGTTGAACTCAGGATTCGAGACGGACGCATAGAAAGTCTCAAGCGTTTATTGTTGGCATCCACCTCCACAATAGCCACTCGTACGATCTGATTCTTCTTGTAATTGAGGGTGTTGATATCGTCGTAGTTATCTGCCATGTCAGGCAAGTGGACAGGTCCAGAAACAATGTCGCTGAGCTTCACCATAACCTGACGCTCATTAACTTTCGTAATCTTTCCGGGTAAGACCATGTTTTGTTTTAAAGAAGTCCAGTCGACACCCTGTGAGTCGGTCGAAGAGCGAGCTGAAAGGTCAAGACGGTTTTTTTCGGCGTCAATAGATTTGACTTTGACCTTCAGCGCTGAGCCAACGGGGAAGTTTGCTTCCAAATCGTTCAGGAGGGAGAGGTCATCCGAGGCCTCCATAGCGGAAACTCTACCGCGAACGCTGGGAGAGAGATTGACCCAGAGGAATTGAGGCGTGACGTTGTTAACGTATGCGATGTGCGAGTCCCCAACCTTCAGTGAGTCGAGTGAGAGTGTGATTGGGTTTTCACCCTCGACATCGCTGTGTTTGGCGGACATCTCAAGAACGGAGTGGGCTGATCTGTGGGAAATAGGCAAGAAACGGTGATCCTTCGCATCGTGAACGCCAATGACCTTTAACTTGATCTGTTGTTTTCTGTGGAACTTGTCAAGTGGCTTTTTAGGATCTGTGATATCCTCCCACTTGTCAAAGACTTGAGATACATCCACCCGACCCTGAACTTGGTTATCGATCAGCTGCACGTTGAGTTGGGTCTCCTTAATGGAGGTTATAGTAGCCGTCACGACAGTTCCGAATCCTAGACCATCCGCAGGAGCAGGCACTTTATCCTTTTGTTTCTTGGTGACCTCCTCAGTTGGGGCCGCGGTTGCAGGAGCGACCATGATGCGGCGCAAGTCATTAATAACAGAAATAATCTTTACCTCAATGGACTCATACTTGTGCATACCAAAATCCGGCTTGGACTGCGCATCTGCCGGCAGCCGTGACTTTGGTAAAAGGGCGTAAAGGTTATGAGCAAATTGAACGAAGACGGCTGTCTGAGTAACATTTCTCACAAAAGCCGGGACAATAGCGTCTTGCTTGGCGTCGTCGAAGTTGGAAAGCAATTTGCCTTCCTTGGAGGCTTTGATGAGACTGGGTTTCTGAGTCAGTATAATAGCTCTTCGCTTCTCATTCTTGTCGATGACCATGAGGTCGGAAAGGGTCTGTCCGGCCGAGACGCGCTTAAGAGCAAATTGGTTTTTGGAGGGGGACTTGTCGGTGAGGTGACCAACAGGAAGAATGGCCTTGAGTTGGCTGTCTACCAGCTCGACGAAGATTTGATCCTCGGTCTTCTGTGTCACCTTGGCGGCAACCATCTCTCCTACTTTCAGGTTCTTCAGAGCTGTTTGCTTGTCCAAGCCAAAAGCTCCAGGATCCTTGCAGGAGACAATCAGTCGGCGCTGTTCAGGGTCAACATGAAGTATGTGCACGCTGACAACTTGACCGATACGGAAGTGCTCATTAGGATCACGGATGTAGGCTTCGCTCATTTCAGAAACGGGCAAAAATCCCTTTAGCCGACCGTAGAATTGGATGTGCGCGCCATTGGGCTGGAGCTTGATGATGGTTCCAGGGACTTGGAGGCCGACAACAGCATCTTCGTGGGATTTGATGACTGGGGCGTCGGAGTTGACCAAGGTCTTCTTCAGTGTAAACCGAATCTGTTTCTTGAATGGATTGGTTGACAACACTCGGGCCTTCACCTTCATACCCTCGCGGAACTTCTTCTCAGGGTGCTGCAACTTGATGTCTGACAAGTGGCGCTCGGCGACGTAACCGGTGATACCATCAGCAATCTTCAAGATTAAACCCCTGACACCCTCTTCCTTGATGACTAGCTTCTCAATCTCACAAGTGATGACGGCGCCTACAGGAACGTCTTCCATACGAATGTACTGTTGATCGAGGATACTCTTCTCAAAAGACAAATGGAACTGGCCGTCTAGTTCGCTATAACCAACAACTCGTCCCTTGTGAACTGAACCAAGCTGATAAGGCCCGCTAGATTCGTACAGGGCGTCAACTTTACCGTCCTTGACTCGGGAAATATGAACGAAGCCGCCCAAGCCAGCGATTCCGATATCTACAAAGAGACCAATTTCGCTCTCAACGCGTCGAACAGTACACTTCTCTACCAATGACGAGATTGGCAAAGCCTCTGTAGGAAGAGTTTTGTTGTCCTTGGCAGGGTGCTTGCGTGTGAGCGAAGTGATGTGAGGGAGCAAGGAGATGCCAAGCTTCGGTTCCTTGGCTGTAGGGAAGTTGCAAACTACTCTGGCCTTGACCTTGGATCCGACTTTGTAGGTAGCTTCCAGATCGGTACCATTGGGTCCGGCTCCCGAATGAACAAGGTCCGCAGTCACGTCCAAGTGTCCGATGACTTTACCGGCAAGGCCGCGTCGGTCAATGTTGGTAATCAGGACATCCACATTGGTGCCGGGGAGAAAGGCGTTTATGGTGGTGGCCTCTGTCGGGACGTCTTTTAGGCTGCCGAGTTTCTTTTGCTGCAGAGAGAGTTGAACAACGTTTCCATTTGAACCCTTGCCGGTTACTTGGCACAGGAACACAGATCCCTCTTGTAGTCGGCTTTGGTCAATGGTCGAGTCAACTTCGCCGTGGGGTAAGAAGGCTCGAAGATGGGGAATGCCGACATCCATAACGCAACCACGATCCTCGACACTGACGACGGATGCCATAACGGTGCTGTTGGCGACAATATCATCTTTGCCTAAGCCTGAGTTGGTCTCTGTGGGTCGCAAAGAAAGCTCGATCTTTCTCTTGGTCTTGTTCTTGCCATCGCCAATCGCTGACTCGTCCATTGTGGACACAACATATACTCGCAGATACTGGCCCACAACAAACATGGATTTGAGGTCAACATCAGTTTCGTCGGATGATTCGTCCTCTTCGTCGTCTTGCTCGGCCGCGGCCTCTTGTACTCGGTTGGTCAATTGCTCTGAAACAGCGACAACCGACACATGTCCGGTAAGGTTGTTGGGAAGAGCCACTTCGAGATCCAGGTTGTTAATTCGGGTGATTTGACCAAGCACGAGAGAGCCTTTGACAAGTTTCTACTGCTGTTAGAATCACGAGCGAGCTTGATATTCTGTATGAGCAAACGAAACGCAGGTGAAATTCAGCAATTACCTTGAAATTGAGACTTTCCACCTTGACAAAGTCTTCGGAATCCTTCTCTTCAGCACTCGTCTTGCCGCCTTTCAGGGAAACTTTTCTCTTCTTTGGTATCTTTTGAGCTTTGCCGCCCCTAGTGTCGAATTCTTCTTCACGACGAGCGTCGGCTTTGGCTTCCAGCTGAATCTGTTTATGCTCCAATGGAGTAAGAATGCTGCCGCCACCTCTAGGGAATATTGGTTCTTCATTTTTCAGGAGGGACACAACAGGTGCTTTGGGACGAGCGTCGTTGTCGCTCGTCTTCTTTGGCTGGGTTTTGGCTGTTTTGGATTTTGCGATTTCGGGAGCATTCGTCTTTGAAGGTCGGCCTTGTTTGGTATTTTTAGCCGATTTAGCGGGAGGCTGCCCTCCAGGGGCATCTTTTCGCTTGAGATTGCTCATGGCGACGAAATGCAGCGAAAGCGGTTTCGTGCCTTGAATCTCAAACTCGGTATAGAAATTCCTTTCCTGAGACCTTTGGCTAGGCCTGTTGGATATTTTTTTTCCCTGCGGCACGGCGATAAGCCGATAAGAATAGGAAGGGGTTTAGCGTGGGCTCAGGTGGGGGTAAGGGTTTGTGGCGGTGGCGGTGGCGGCGAGGCGTGTGGCACAGGGTTGAACAGCTGGCAGTTCAGGCCATCCAGCCGACTTAAGTACGGAGCTCCTAGAACTCGCACCAGAATTGACCCGGCTGCCTGGGCATCAGCGAGTCGTGGGCGAGCTCCAGGCGCGTGCATGACCTGGAGGATCGCGACTGGCGGGGAGTTACTACGGCAGGTGCATCCACATGCAGTGGACATTGTGTAGCCCTACTCCGTTCAATTGACGCCATCGACGATGCCCATCAACAATGTTCATCCGGACTGGATTGTGGATTGTGGCCACGCGGTCACCAGGCACCAGCCTTCGTGTGTCTCCAGAAATACACATGCATCCAGATGCCACCAGCGTCGGAATGCGTGGGCTAGAAAATCCGAACTAGAACTCTCCGTGAATACCAGTGTCTCGCCGGTTTATTGTCTGTTGTCTGTTGTCTCTCGTGCCACCTCAACCTCTGCAGAACAACAAGTTGCCTCCTCCATCCATCGTCCATAGATAGGTTCAGGGGCACACCAGAGCGAAGCCGTCATTGATGATGCTTCCTCGAAAGCGACAGCGTCCCAACCCGGGCGAGGCCAGCAGCATTAGTTTGCCAACAACTGCGCCGAGTCGGGAAACGGCGACGTCACTTTCACAGCCCCTGCCCATGCCATCGCCGGCTGCCGAAGCACCCCACCAGCACCCCAACCAGATCACCCAGATCATCCCCGTCGACCCCTTCAACCCCGTCAGCCCGCTGCCTCGGAAGCTGAGGCTGCAAGTACACGGCTCAATGTCCTCGTTAGTCCTCGACAGCTTCCATCTCTACCACCGCCAATCCCCCCAATGCCGCCGTCTCATTCCACGCATCCTCACGGTGCGCCTCCAACTCACCCCCCAGCCCAGAAGCAGGTACGCATCATGTCTGGTACAAATTGCATCAAGAAAATAAGAATAAAGCAAGCTCACGCCATGTCGTCACAGGTCCGCAAGGCAAAGAGCTGGTACGGCCCATGGCCCAAAACACCAATGAAAGCCACCGCTTCGACTTCGGTTGCACGTGAAAATATATTAGGCGGAACCGTCCGCTCCGCAGCTGCCCCAGATCTTGGTCGATTCGACTCGTCAAATAAGAGTGCTGCCGAGACTGCAAGCATTCGAGGCGATTCACGACCTGTTTCCCTGTCCAAAGTTTTCGAGGACGGAATGCCAGCTGTTGCCACTGACACGACGACCGTCGACGATAACGCCCAACACAAGAAAACCGGCACACCACAACCTCCGCACACCCCAAAAGACATACACGCTACAAAAGAAAGAAATGACACAAGGCAAGACGAAATAAAACCACAACCCGAGGCCCCAGACTCAACGACCACTCCGCCGACCGCGTCTGCTGCCCCTGCCCCTCCATCAGGCTGGCTAGTTTGGTGGCCCAAGGCTCCAACCACAGAACAACAAACAGTTGCAGTAACATCTACCACTCTTGACAATACGAATGATCCCACGCCAGAGAATAGACCCTTTACTCCTCCCGAACAAACTGCCCCGCCGGACTCGGTCCCCAAGGAACCACCACCAAGTGCACCAACGGCATCATCCACCTGGCGATTCGGGTTTTGGTCCTCTACCAACAACAAGATGGACAAGACGGACCCCGAAAAGGAGGGCAAGGCAGAGGAGGCTCAACCCAAACAGCAACAAGACGTTGTCATGGAAGATGCTCCAGCCCCAGCAGCTGCCCCAGAGAATGAACCTACACCGAAAGCTGGGTCAACGTGGGCATTCTGGTCGCGGGCATCGCCGAGCAAATCGAGTAACATGATTTCTTCCTCGAACTCTGGCGAAATGGCTGTAATTGGCGAGGGATCAGAAGCGCACCCAAAACGAATGAGTGAAGTGGATGTCTCTAGTCCGCAAAGCAAAGCCTCCAAACAAGAGACGCAGGCCACGGAGGCGCAACCACAGGCGAAATCGACTTGGCGTAGGAAAAAGAGAGTACGCCCATCTTCTAGTGAAGCTCCAACAGATTCAGGTGCATCGACTGCAACGCGGACTGCTATACCAGCTGTCGATGAACCTCAGGGCCTCCCGCCCCCTCCAAAGGAGCACAAGACCCCAGTGCCGTCTACAAAAGCCGAGTCGTCGAGCAAATCAGCAGCTGAGGCCGAAACGGTGGCAAAGCAACCTCCTAATTTGCTACTTCCCTCGTTCACCAGCACCTATCAGATGAAGGAGAACCCTTCAATATTGCAGCAAGTTGCACAGCTTCTGCTACGAACCTCTCAGCCACCAGCTAACCACGTCTTTCGGGTCAAAGATCCACCCAAGATCCGCAAGGCCATCGCTATCGGCATACATGGTCTATTCCCGGCAACCTATCTGCGACCCATGATTGGCCAACCTACAGGGACGTCGCTAAGATTCGCCAACCTCTGCGCAGAGGCCATTCGTCGATGGACAGACGCTCACGGCTCTCCTGATTGTGAAATTGAAAAGGTCGCCCTTGAAGGCGAGGGGAGAATCAGCGATCGGGTGGACAATTTGTGGAAACTTATGCTCAATTGGATAGATCATATTCGCAGGGCTGATTTCATCATACTGGCATGTCATTCTCAGGGCGTTCCTGTAAGCATCATGCTGTTGGAGAAGCTCATCGACATGGGCATCATCACCAATGCCAAGATAGGAGTTTGTGCAATGGCAGGGGTGGCTTTAGGTCCGTTTCCAGATTACAAGTCTAGCATTCTCATGGGGTCGGCAGCCGAGCTGTGGGAGTTTGGTAATCCTCAGAGCAATAATTCGCAACGATTCGAGACGTCTTTGAAGCGAGTGTTGGACCACGGGGCAAGGGTGACGTTCATCGGCAGTATCGACGACCAGTTGGTGCCTATGGAGGTGAGAAATCTTGTTGACTTTTTCGGACCCGGAGATAATGCATGCTAACTCTTCTTTCTAGTCCGCCGTTTATTCTCCTGCCAGCCACCCATACATCTACCGGGCCGTCTTCATCGATGGCCGAATCCACGCGCCAGACTTTATTGCACACCTGGTTGGTTTCGCCCTGAAATTACGAAACCTGGGAGTCACTGATCACGGTCTCATTCGCGAATTGTCTGTGGCGATGGCAGGGTCCTTGTACTCAGGCGAAGGTCACTCCCGATTATACTACGACCCAGCGGTGTACGACCTCGCCATATCCCACGCCCTCGAAACAACGTCCACCCCATCCCCCGTCACATGTGAGGTTGGCCCGCGCGGAGGTCTAGCATCTGCCAATCCGTACGTGCTGCCGTGGATCATGCGCGGCATGCTAGAAGAAAGTTTCGTAAAGACGGAACTGAGCAGCGAGACAGAGGACCTGTTGCGGCAATTCGATGATTGGAAACCGTCAAATAAGGCGCTGAAAGATGTCAAGTATCGTTTGGAAGCGGTGCGATCGAAGCTTTAGCCTTTGTTTATATTTCTATTTTTTTTTGTGGGATATTTGCGTATCATGGCGAGGAGTTTGACCCTTTTTATATATATACCACATGGCGGATTTTGCATGGTTTTCTTTTAGATGAGCAGGCTACAGTATGACGAAAGAGCTCCAGCAGCGTCGGCATAGATGTTGTATACAGGATAGATAAATACACGACTTGACTACCTAATCTGCCCACTTCCAACGCTATCTGATCTTTCTATGAAGACGGTGTGTGCCGTGTTCTCTAGCGACTTGAGTAAGAAGCCACGATATTCTTGCCCTTCGTTTCGTCTTTAAAAGTTAGCTCAGTCATTGTATCCCGTCTGCTCGCTATCTGAACCCAAACGTGTCAGTTTCAAGACATCCCGGTGTCCAGGCACTAGTGCCTCTTTCTTCTCACCGTCTTCTCCAGCCCAGTCATTCAATAGCACTGTACACCCTTCAAGGTGGGTTCGGACACCTGCAACGGCTGCTGCCCAGTCATGTCTCCATCTAACGATTCTACGATCCTGTGACGCACGCGTATGGGCTGCCCATCCTCGTCCGGCCTCGGGAATCGAGCAAATACGCCTCGACGAGTAGGTCCACGGCCGTCAGTATACCCCAAGGTAGAGAGTGGTGCGTGATTCCCACTGCAGAGCGGAAAGCAGGCACAGCCCCGGTAGGTATTCCGTGCCAGAGCGCGTTACGGAGAGCATACTCTTGCTGAACAAGGAGTTTCGCTGCCGTGTGCACCGCATGCAGCGTCGGGTGTTACATGAATATGAGCACATGGCTGTCCCTGTAGGTTGGCAGCACGCAGAGTCTGCCGCAAAGCGAGAAGCACTGGGTGTGAATAGCGATGAGCACCAGCCGGATGCTAAGTGTATTCCGTCCAAGGGCTTGACTGCACATTTAGCATCAAAGACACCCGGCAGGTAGCAAGTTTAGCACGCGCAAAATAGTCCCGAGATGTGATTTTGCAAAAAAAGAAAAAAGGAAACTCGACAACACCAATGAAGTGCCATATCGTAATTCAACATGGTATCTAAAATACTGTACACGGCGGGCCCCTGCTCCAAGCAAAAACCTATAATACACGGGGCGCCCAAAGAGCAAACCGCGGAACCCCGTTATCTCCTGCCGAGCTTCCAGGCGTCGATACGGTCCTGGATCTGGTCCCAGGTCATGGAGTGGCTCGTCAGGCCGTACGCCTGCGCCTCCTGGACGACGACGGTGGGCGCGCCGCTCCCGCGGCCGGGGTTCCCAAGCGCGCCGTGGACAACCATGCTCGCGACCCTCCGCAGGTCGCGGACGGTGAGGGCCTCGATGCGCGCGCACATGTCCCGGACGGGGATCTTGTGGCCGTGGACCTGGACGGAGCGGCCGAGGTCCTCCAGCTCGACCATGCGCGACTCCAGGTTCATGAGCAGGCTCGACCGCAGCTGGTTCTTGGCCCGCGACACCTCGCCCTCCTGCAGGCGCGAGAAGCCCGTGTCGAGCGTGAGCGCCCGCAGCTCCTGGCACATGACGTCCAGCATGGCCGACGTGTGGCCCGGCAGGCACGAGGCCGAGATGCCAAACAGCCCCGAGTCCGTGTACGAGTGGTTGAAGGACACGCACGACTCCACCCAGCCGTACTGGTTGAGCACGTTTGTGTACAGCCGCGAGTACATGCCCTTCCCCGGCCCGCCGGCCGAGAACGAACCCCCGCCGCCGAGGAGCGTCTGCAGCGTCGCCAGCGCGTAGATGTCGTCCGACCCCACGGGCAGGCCCTCGAACGCCAGGTGGATGTGCGTAAAGTTGGTCTGGTTGAGTGACGGCGGCTGCGGCGGCAGCGAGAGGAATCCGCCCGTGTAGTGGGCCGGGAGGGCGGCAATATCAGCGGGCAGGTTGTTGAGCACCGCGGCGTTGCGAGGCGCCGACGTCGACAGGTTCTTGATGAACGGAATCTTGGACATGATGTGCGCTCGAGGAGATGCCGAGGACGAAGACGACGACGTATACCAAGAGGAGGAGGAGGAAGAAGAAGACGCAGCGGAGTCGGTGTCGCTCTCCGTTTCACTCCCCGTCACCTCCCTCGCGCCCGGCAAGCTCGTGCTCTTCATGTCGCCGAAGAACTGCTCCGCCAGCCGCACGGCAACGCCATGGTCGACCCCTGCAAACGCCAGCACCATTCTCTCCGGCTGGTAAAACGCATCTCTGTACTTGAGCACTGTGTCCCTCTTGATCTCGCCCAGTCTCTCCTCCGGGCACAGCAGCGGGTTGCCCAGGGTGTTGTCCTTGAACGCCGCCGTGTGCACCAGCTCGGGCAGGATAAGCTCGGGCTTGCCCCAAATCTCGGCGATTTCATACCTCGCCGTCTCAATCTGCTCGGCAACCTCGTCCTCGGTCATGTTTGGGTCGCGAATCGTCTCGGCCAGCAGGGAGACCGTTTCGGGGACCGCATTGTTGAACGTGGCGGCCTGGTACATCATGGATTCCCGCGACGACGCGCACTGGATGTTGCCGCCGCGCCTCTCCACGCGCTCGAGCATGGCGTCAGCCGTGTGCGACGAGGTGCTCTTGAAGGCCAGCCGGTCCATGATGTGCGACACGCCCCGGAGCGAGGGGGTTTCGAAGCGAGACCCGGCCTCGACGTAGACGCCCACGCCGGCGAAGGAGCCGGGCAGTGCTTCGGATGCCACACGCAGGCCGTTGGGGAGAGTGGTGATCTGGTCTAGTTCCGTGGGTTCCTATTTAGCTGTGAGCAGTTGCCCTCTGTAGTCTCGGGGGTCGTTTCTCCGGCCATCAAGCGGCCATGGGGTTATCCGGCACGAGAGAAAACACACAAGTACACACTTTTTGCAGTCCCTCCACTCTCACCGTCGCCATCCCCCTCCTCCACGCATTTCCCCTCGCCAAAAGCCTAGTCGTCGGCGAGAGCCGCGCCGAAAGCTGCCGCAGCATGGTGGTGGGTGGTGCCTCGATGCCGTTTACAAATCCCCTCGTAGCTCGGGTAAAGTCGACCAGAACGCAACAGTCTAGCAGTCGTTGAATCCACCTGTCGAAGCCAGCTCGCTTGATAGGGGATGATGCAGATGAAGGTGACAGCGGCAAAATTTCATTGCCGTCACGCTTGTCAAGGTAATTAGTCGTCGGTCGGCTGCGGATGGGCCCCAGTAAAAAAAGTTGGGTCTGTGGTATGTGTGGCTTTGGGATGCCGAGTGACGGATGTGTGAGTGGTAAGTTACTCGGCGATAAATCGGATCTGACGTCGGACGGAGGTCCCGACTCAAAATACTACCTTGCTACTACTACTACTCCTCCCCTTTGGACCTGTCCAGGACCAGCCATAGCCATGATGGATATGCCATGGATCGTCATTGACTCTGCGGCACTTTTCATTTTGTTCGCAATATACTCCGTGGCAAAGAATACAGCTCGCACAGCAATCAATTTCAAATTCCCAAGCAAACGCAGCAAAATTGGTATATTAATACTTAAGCTTCAAATAGATGCGGCGTCCAAATGCACCCAAGAATGCAGGAGTACGTATAGAGATATACCCAATTTACCAAACCAATGCCATACAAAACAAAATAAAAGTCGTGGTGCAGGGTCAACATGTTCCAGCTCCGAAACCACTTGACTGTAACACAGCCTAGAGCCCTCAAATAAACAAAACCAGGAGCGCCGTCTATGACAAGAACACTGCAGGAACCGTTGGAAAAAGTGACATGTGTCGCTCGCTATGCTCTCCGAATAAAAGAATAGTTTCATCAGGCTTGCCATGTATCGCACTTCTCCCCGTTCCCTCATCTGCATTTCCATACAAAACCACGCCAGCACCCTCCCTATCAAACGCCTTTTGCTTCATTTGCAACGGCCCTCCTCAGCGAATAGAATCATCGCTCTGGTTAGCACCGCCGCTGACATCCATTTCGGCTGCGGCATCCAGGCTTCGCATTTCGGGGCTGCCAGCAGCAGCACGCTGCCCTGCACTGCCATCAAATACCCACGGCCCAGCATTGTTTCTCGGCGTGATGGGGCCCTCTGCCCCGCTGGATGATGGTGATGGGGATCGGTGCTCGCGAAGATGGCCTACACGCCCTGAGCCTGAGGCTGGATTTGTGATGGGCAGCGGCTCTGAGGCTGCGTGCAACGAGCTGCCTGCCGGCCTTCCCTGGGGGCTGTCTGACACGTTGACACTCATTGTAACATCCACATCCATAGCATCCGGGTCTGGTGCCGCGGCTTCTGTGGGATCGGCAACAGGGGATTCCCCTGATTGAGAATTTTCGGATTCTTGTTTATCTGCATCCATGCCACCGTCCTCTAGTTGCTGCCATTCTTCAGATGGCTCATCCACATCGGCCTCGAGATCGGCTCCTGCACGGCAGTTGGGGCAGACAAAGATGGGATATTGCGGCGACGTCAAAAGTAATCGCACACATTTAAAGTGCCATGTATGAGAGCACGGTGCGACAAATAAAGATTGACAGGGCTGCGTATAATATTAGCACATGTGGATCCAAGTCCCGAAGTTGCTCAGTAGTTGGAGCACCTACCGCAATAGAATTCAAGCAAATGGAGCAATCTTGCGAGCTTTGTGAGCTCGATCCAGATGCTGCTCCCGCAGGGGCGCTTGTCGTCATGGTCCGGAGACGTTTATGAGCTGCGACGCTATACGGAGTTAGTCTCTCATCTTTATCAAAAGCAGAGCGATTTGAACTCACTTGAAGCTGTTCAGTTTGTTCTGCCAGCCGCGGTTGAGCTCCAATCTCATCTTGACGCAGCGGAAAATCATCTCCTCGCCGCCCTTAAAGTCAATGCCCAGCTGGACAATGTCGCCGTCGTTAACAGGATATGCCTTGCTCTCCTGCGACGGGCCGCTCAACCTAATGTGGTTCAAAAAGGTTCCAGACGAGCTCTTGACATCCTTGATGAACCACTTGCCATCTTCGCACCAGAACTCGCAATGTCGGCGACTCACAACTTTGCTCTTGAAACCCACCGGTGCTGCGGACGGCTGGTTGTTATTCATGTTGGCGGCCTGGCCATCTCGTTCTGAATATCGGCCCACACGAATGACCTCGGTGCCATTGGGCAGCGTTCTCGAAATGGGGGAGAAGGAGAGCGAGGGCCGAGTCGATCGAAGGTCGTAGTGTGCGGAGAAGCGTATTGACGGCACTGTGTCGGGGGCGCTGTTGACCGCAGCGGAGGCAGAGGCAGCAGCAGTACCGTTTGGGGCAGACGAGGCGGCGGGGGCATCGCTCACAGCACGGGGTCTCGTTGCAGTCATGTTGGACTGGCCGTTGTTGGATGTCGAGTCTAGCGAAGTGGTTTGGCTCGCTGCCAAAGCCTGCGGGGACGTGGAACTGGTCGTCTCTGGAATCGTTGGCGGGGGGCTGCTCGATGAAGCACCGTTGTTCTCTCGTACGATGACCCGCGGCGACAATGCAGGCGCAGCGTCGGGGGATGTGCTGACAAGAGTGAGACGATTGGGGTTTTGCGAAGCGGGGGAAATTGTCGACGCCGGGGTGTAGCTGACGGATCGGGTCAAGTTGCCGTTCTGCGTCTGGCTGCTGCGAAGGGATGAGCTGGCGTTGGCGTTGGTGTTGGTGTTGGTAGATGATGATGACGATGATGAGTGGTGTGAGTCTCGCGACAACAGATGGTTGTGAGTGTAGTTGCGCAAGTAGGTCAATCCTCGGAGTCGACTTGGGCGAGACGGGGAGACGGGGACGGGGTTAGCACCCTGCGGCCCCGGAGGAGGAGATGAGACGGGTTGTGTGAACATGTTGGTCAAGGCGACAAAGGTCCTCTCTCCTTGTGCGATCTAGAAGTGCAAACTGTTGAAAAATCTTTGTCGGCGGTCCGTGACTTGCGCTCAAGGCTGGTTGTCAGTGGAAGCGGCCTGGTACAGACAAGCGACAGGGCGACAGGGCGACAGGACGACAAAGGGGGGGTTCGAAATGTTGGCGACGCCAGGCGTTGAAGTTTCACAGCTCTCAGCTGAGCAGCAGCTGAGCAGCAGCGTTCAAGGTTGCGGAAAGCCCCAAACTGCCCCGAGTTGGTGCAGTGGTTGGGGAGGTGATCAAGTAGGTGCGGAGAATCAGAGAATCAGAGAATCAGGTGCGCACATCAATTGATGTGCAAGCAGGGTTCAATGTTGATGATGGGTCAAATGCTGGCGCGCAGATGACCGGGCCGTTTGACGACTCTCTCGTCCAGACTCTGGCGTCTAGAGATTGTTCGCTGCGGGACAGGGGGCGCCCGGTCTTCTCTTTTCTTTCAAGGGCTCAAACTTCTCTTCTCTCGTCGAGATTGATTCAATCGCAAAACCCATCCAGGCCCGGGGCTGAAAGACCAAGACCAGACAGATTCGATAGAACAAGGGAGGTAGTGTTGGATGCAAAAAGCCAGTCTTTGTCGACTGTCCCGAGGGGAGGATGGTTCTTTATCCGGCTTGTTGGCAGCCTCACACCACCAACCAGGCTTGGCTGTACATGAATCGATTCACGGTGGACACACCAGTTGACCCCAGTTGGCGTCGGCTGGCGCTGGCGCTGGCGTCGGCGTCGGCGTTGGAGCCAGGAAGCTAAGTCTACACGTAATACCGAGTAAGCAGAAGGGGGGAGGGAAACTGTTGATGCAGATGCAAACGCGGCGGCGGTCTGGTCAGTGTCGAGATGGTGGTCCTTGATGTATTGGACGTAATTTTTTGATGGGATGATTTCGAAACATGATAGCCTGCATCTCTGGCTGCTGCAGCAAACACGCAGCACGGGAGCCCTCCAACCCTCTTGCCTCTTCATGCCATTTTTACTTCTGGATTTAACCAAGAAGCTATTGGTCTGGGCCAACGCCGCCCGAATGACCTGATGCATCTGCACCCCCGACATGGAACCGCCTTCTCACGCTCTTCCCGCTCTCCAGGTCGCGCGCTCGCCGTCCGCCGTCGCTCACAGGCGCCATCCCGGCCACCACAACCGCCACAACCCACGAAACGACAGCCTGGTGCTTAGCGAGTCTCGGAGTCTCGGAGTCAATGTCAAAGCTCCCAGGTGCCATGTCTTCTTCTTTCAGGGCTTGAACTGTTTGGAACAGCTTGGGCTGCGTGTGGGCCTCGCCAAACCGTGGCGTCAACGAAGGGGGACCTCCAACTCAACCCAAGGCCGCCGTGTGGCTGCTGCGGGTCTCGCAATCTGGGACCTTCTCGACTCCATCATGTCCCATATCTCTAATTACGGAGCCCGGACAACCCCAGTTGTTGGTCTCGGGACATCCGCTCGCGGTACGTCGGCGCAAGCCTAAATAAGCAAAATCAGACGTCTGAATTTGTCACTACGAGCTAATAGATCCGACACGAACGAGATAACAACCTCGAATGCTCCGGACCGAGTATGCTCTACGGAGTGCGTTGTGAGCAATAGAAGACGCATACTATACGTACCTAGGTAGGTGTGGCCTGTCGAGTCTTGGAGATGGTTCCAGATTGCACACTCGCTCTATCGACCTACTAGTATCACGTCCTGGCAGCTCCACGTCTCCCCGATTTGGCCACTGGCCCGAAAGCTGCAGCATGATAGCCTCCAGATGTCCCACGCCCTGGCCGCGTGTAGTCTGTGTGCACGGCCAACGGCTGGGCGAGAGCACGCAGGGGAGGCAGGTCACCAGCGTCAATGATCTGCATCAAGACTGGTGGCGCCCACCAGCCGAGACCGTCACAGCTGGGGTCGCGTGGTTTCTTTCATCACCTTTCCAAGACTCTGAAAGAGCCTATCCAAACGTTAACCAACACCAGGCTGTGGACTCTGTGAGCATGGAATCATTCTGTCCCCGCATTGTGCTTCCAAGATGGCTGCCACCTGAAGCGCTCAGGCGGTTCATGACAAACTTTAAATTAACATTATCAGCCTATGTCCCGAGGTGAAAATCTCCAAATTTCACCGCCATGCTGCAACGTCCTACACCAGAGGAGTGTAGCAAGCAGGCAAAGGTAAACATGGTTCAACCAGAGGCTTCATCACACCCGTCAAGAACGTTAGACATGCTGCCTTCAGAAATGAAAGGGGCCCTCGTGCTCGACTCATGGGACGAAATGAAGCGTCACTAGTGGCAGTCTGTGGGCAGAGCCATCACACCAAAGTAAACACGCCCAACCTGGCTGGGATAAGCGCAGGATGATGATGGAGGAGGAGGAGGAGGAATCCTGAGCCCACTCCGATATTAACAAACAGTCTTGTATATCTACAAGCAGAGAGAGGGCCCTGGCCGTCGCCAAGATTCGTAGAGATGAACAAGTCGGATCTTGCCGTTCAGACCATTCCGCGGAGATTAATCTTGCCCACCTCAGCGAGCCTACCATTTAGTAGTACTTAAAAGCCCGCCGCATTTGTCGTAGCTGCGAAGCCTATCGCCATCAGTGGCATCAGAGTTGCACACCCAGTGGATTCTCCCATCAGCCCGCGTGGCACCCGGCCTTGGCCCATCACGGCAACGAAAGACTTAGCCAGCAGATCCAGAACAGAGCTCCAAATTCGAACCGTCAAACAGCTGTCGTTCCAAAGAGCATCTTTGAGTTAATTAAGAATACTCGCCCATTCTCTGAAGCGATGCGTCTCGTCAACCCATGTCCATCTCCCGTGACGGCTGCAGGCCAGACCCGCGACTTGTTTCTGATTCTTGTTCCAGGCATACATCCTACACCATCGAATCCCCGAGTCCAGCATGCTCCTCCGTCGACCGGAATGTCTCCCGTCTCAGCTTTTCCCGCGACGCCAAGCCAACGTTGCGCCCGCCCGTCAGCGCACCAAGTATATTAATAGCAGCTGAGCCAGTGCGCCTCCTCCCGCTTCGGCCCCCGGAGGCCGGAATGCCAGACAAGTCAATTGCCTACAGTAGGTACGTAGATATCTAGCGCTCTAAGCGTAATTACCCAAAGGCCCTGTTGTCCCCGAAACAGCCACGTGAAGAAGCCGTCAACTGTAGCGTGGAAATCCAGAGGGGAATCCCGAGCAACGCTGTTTCGACTTGTACCGAGACACCTCCTCTCCCGGTAGCCTGCCATCTTGTTTCGCCAAGTAGTCCCAGTGAATCGCGGGGGAAGATGCACCTCGGGCCACAAAACCACTTGGCAATACGACCAGTTAGCGTAGCACTCACTGGGTTGGTCGTCGAATGGTCGTAACACGATTAATATGACCATGCATCTCAAGTACTCAAGTAGAATGTTGTCCTGCCTAAGGGTTCCTCCGACCCTGTATTCCTGCTTGCAGTCACAAAACTCCACGTATTTAGTGAAGCATAACGCTTTGCCGATGGTGCTACACTTTCGCTCCCACCATCATCACTTCTTTAGTGCTGCATTTCCCAGTCGTTCAATCTCTCGGCCTTCTGGCGAGCCTTTCCCTGCTGCCTCCAACAGTCTCTCCCACGCCTCTAGGTTCTTGAGACGGATCGCTTCCTCGGCCGCCTTCACCCGCATTCCACACTTCTCGTACATGGTGATGGACTGGCCCGGTTCCAAACCCGTACATTTCGGTACAAACACAGACGCCAGTCGGGGGTTCCCCGCTTGAAGTGTAAGGTTGAAAAATGGCTGCAGTGCGAATCAAACGTTAGCAACTGGTGATTTGCCGCCGTGACACGGAACAGATTTGAGACCAGCTTATACACACCTCCCAGCCAATGGGGCTCTTCTTCGTTTTCGATATCTCCTCAATCTCGTTCCAATCTCGTTTCGCGACCAAGGCACGCAGGCTGCGAAACAGGAAAACAAAAGGCATTAGTGAAGTGTTACATCCTTAGAGCAGAGACAAAACAAATGGCCGATCGGCAAATCTCGTGAGTGATCAACGTACCGAACCCACCACGCAACCTTCTCTGAAACTTTGAATTCGCTCTGAATCTTCTTCGCGCGGCCATTATAGCCTAGTCGAATAAGCTTAAACATGGTTTCGTTGACGCTCAGTCCCAAGAAGGAATCACTCAAGTCTCGATCTAAAGACTCTTGCATTCGAAGCAAAGTCGTCGTCTCCTTCAACGAGTACAGCTCTGGCAGATGCTCTTTGGAATCAGAAAGCAGTTTGGCCGCCAATGCCAGCTTATCCGAAGCGGTGCGAGCATCTGGTTGCTGTAACGATTCGCGGATAAACACATTTGCTCCGTCCGCTCGGCGGTCGTCTTGGTAATACAGATCCTTGAGAACGCTGTTGTCGCCTTCGGCAATCGCTAATGCTTCTACCATTGCCGATGCCGTTGGTCGAGAGTTAATCACACGGAAAAACGATGCAAGTGGCAGCTTCTTCTTTAATTTCAGCAGCACAGACAGGATCAAATCGCTATCTCCGCTCTCAATGGCTTTGTCCAGTGCAAGCTCATCCTCCTCCATGTCCAATAAGAGAGGTACTTGTCTTCCCCCTCGTGGTTCATGATTCAGAAGTTCCGTTGCTAAGCGGCCACGACCTTCATGATACGCTGTCCTTGCAATCTCCTCAAACGAGATTCCTGGTTTGCCGGACAGTCTCTGAACTACCAGTCGACAGATCGTGTCGTCATTTTCGGCTCCATTTCGTACCTTCGTAGATGCCCAGTGTACGTATATGCGGTCCGTGGGCAATTTCAGGTAGCCAGCGATCTTCAATGCAAGAAGATAATCGTGTCTTTGAAGAAGGCGTTGAATCATTTTCTCCGGCGTCAGACGATGATATTGTTCGAAAGACAGAGGCATCCCAACGTTGAAATCACGTATTGCATTCAAGACTCGCAATGTCTCGCACATGTCCACAAAGTCATCGCTGTTGTAAATATCCAGAACTGACTTGCCGAATGAAGCTGCCTTCAGAAGCCGTTTTTGCCATTTTATGTTAAATTCCCGGCCCGCCGCATTAACGCACGTGTCGACTGCTTCAGTAAGATTCGCACGGATGAGTTGAATATAGTCATCTGCTTTGGGTGATTCAAGTTCCAGTTGGCCAACAGCGTCTAAAAGAATGGAGGCAGGTGAAGATTCAGATGCATGGCCAAAAACGTCCAGCGTATCCGTCGGTATTCTCTCCAGAAATTCGCAAAAGTCGTTTGTAATAAGTCGCGCACCATCATACTCTGTCGCCACGTTAGTGTATCTTGGTCAATATAAAGAGTGTCCGAGTAGATACGGAGCATACCAGAAATAACATGTACTCGGGTACTATCGTAGATGTAAGATAGTGACTGATCACCAGGACCTATCACATGTACTTCGTCTTCCCATGCAATCAGTGCATCTGTTCCACACCATTCGACGTATTTTGGCGGTGTTTGCGAGTCGGAATTATGTTCAAAGAGTGGTTCTTGGAAGTCGCTTGTGATGACGTGTGCTGTTCCCGTCTTTGAATACAAGTTGACGTATCGACCATCTGGAGAGACGCTGATGTGGCTAAAGGGGCCACTGTCAACAAAGCGATCTTCACAGTCTGTCGCATCTACCACGTATACTGTAGAACCAATGCTCAGGAGAACTTCAACAGACCGGGACAAGGTGTGGTCTGGTGATATGATTGCCCAGGAGTGGATCTCAGCTTCGGGTGTGGTTGCCAAAAGCCTTGGACGTGGTTCTGCGTATGAAGACACTGTGACCAAGGAGTTATTGCCCAGCAAGGCTACCATGCCGTTGTCGTAAAACCTGCAAAGTTTATATCAGAGTCTATATTCCTAGGGGAGGGGTCATCAAGGGGAGGTCTTACCGGCATGATTCGACGCCATAATTGTCTGCGCCATGGCCTAGCGAAAAATTACTGAAATCGCCTTGCAAATCATAGCATCGTACATTGCCGTCAGCTGTTACCACCAATAAAGACTCGTCTTCCGACCAGCCCAGCCCTTTGATGCGGCTCTTGTCCCAAGGAATGGAGCGAAGTTTCTTTCCCGCCAAGCTGTAAATATCAATTTCAGACTTCGTAGATCTCCCAGGCTGAAACAAGTGCAACTTTGAGTCGTCACGCCATAAAGCTGAGTCGTCGTTAGCAAAATGTACAAGAATGGATAGCAGTGCTAGGGTAGAGCGCAGTCTCATCCAAAACTTTGAGAATATTCCAGTATTCCCCAGGCCAGGTGATCGTTATCGTACCTAATGCGCCGGCGTATGGGGCCCCAGCAACGAGATAATTGTCAAGATCTAAATCCTCATCGAACACCTCGGTGTACTGCTGGGTCTTGCGAAACCACTTATCCCCTACGCTCTCCCAGTCTGCTCTTGCGTCAAGGGTGCCCATCATAAGTTGCGGTTCATTCTGGATCGCCTCACTTCATGCACATTCGCGGGCAGGATGAAGAAGAGGGACGCGTTGCCGAAGCTGAGATATCAAACCCAGAAGCCGTGAATCTCGACAATAGAGCTAGCTTCCCTCGTATGCGAGAGACAGCTAGCGCAGTCGCGTCACCAAGCCCGAGTGCTCCTGCCAATTTGTGGGGGTATTCCTCGGCTAAACGAGGATGCCTCTAGCTTCAACTTGTTGCTTGATTGCAGGAACGAAAGGAAGCTGCCCCGCCTGTGTGATGTATCCATTCCCCGTACCTCATCCGTCAAATCGATTATCAGTTGATAAAACGCAGCCATCGATTTCCTTACACTTGAGACCATACTAGTCCGCGATCCCCTTCATCCGATATGCCGAATTGGAGAGACGAGTATCTCTCATCCCTCAAGGATGCGGAGCTTCAGAACCCTGTGAACATGGAGTTGGTCCAGACATGTCGGTTCGCACCCAAGCCTGCTGCCCCTCACTCTCACTGAGCACCAGATGATGGGCCTGCTAACTCACCGGCCTGGCAGGTTCACAAATGGCCGATCGAATATCCGCGTTGGAGGCGGAAAAGGCAGCTTTGGAATCACGTGCCTCAAACGCTAATGTCGGTAAGCTGGCATCAGGATCAAAAGTTGGGGATGCTTCAGCTACAGACGATCCTGGCGTCGCTCAGCTTCGTCTTGACCTTGCCGAATCTCTTCGGTCCAAGGGAGTGACGGAAAGTCGGCTACGGACGGCAGAGGAAGAGCTAGCCAAACTACGAACTAAGTTAAAGGATGATTCGCGGTCTATCAGAGATCTCACTACTGAGCGAGCCACCCTCACAACCAGGCTAAAGGATCGGGAGCATGAAATACGAGAGAAACGAAAGTTGCTCGAGGTATGGAGTTGCAGAACCAGCGACCCAACAAGCTGGCTTCCCAGGCTACACAGTATTGACTCTCGTCGCAGCAAGTACAGGATGAAATGATTACTTTGAATCTTCAAATGTCAGTGGCCGAGAAAGAAAGAGACAAGGTGAAGAAAGAGAATAAAGAGCTCGTTGATCGATGGATGAAGCGTATGGCGCAAGAGGCTGAGGCAATGAATCTTGCCAACGAACCGATGTTCGACAAATAGACCAAGTCACAGTTGCACTACGACCATTCGAGCCAGACTTTGAGCCGTCGCAAGAGGAATCGTGCCCCATACAGGGCTGCATTGTTGGTATGTACTCTATGCTAGCTATTCGTCACTCCAACGAACCCACAATAGTGCAAAACAGCCATGATGTATGCGCGCGCGTATGCAGAAATGTTCCTTATCCAAAGCTCGGCTTCCACCGCTAACAATATGAATGCTCTCTAGTTCTACTATTTGCGTGTGGAGATGAAATATGATCCACCAGCATTGGTCCAACTGACAAAGCCCTCTGGGTATATACACTCTTCCACATCAAGAATGCTGCTACCAACGTCATTGATGTTGTGGCTACTCTTGAAGTCAGCTACGAAGGACCTGAGCGAAATGATCTTGCAGCCTAATTTCAAGTCCAAGAACATGCGCACCAAGTCATCGTTCAGCTGAGATGTAAAGGCTTTGTTGTTGACGAGAACGACATCGGCTCGTTTCAGGGCCTCGTGTATGGTGGTGTTTTTGCGAAAGTCGCCTCTCTCGAGGTGAGCCTTGCCAGGCTTGATTCCCCACAGCATACATCTGGCCTCGAACTCTTGGATCTGGGCATCGGCCAGATTGCAAGCATTTTCCATCATTTCGCAACCCCAGCTTTCACATCCTATTTCCAATGCAGCTTGTAAGCAGACATTCCCAACTCCGGATCCCAAATCGACAAAGACTTGGTCCGACGTCATCTTGGTCTGTTCAACTAGAAGCTTTGATATGAAAGGGTGCAGAAGTTCTCCGTAGACATAGTCGGTGCCATTTTCGTACTTTGACAGCAGTTCGACTTTTGGAGCAACCGTTCGATCATAGACTTGATCTAGAATAAAAGCCACTAATTGCCGTGGTAGTTCGTGCATCTTATCAAGGTTCTTGGCAATAATTCCGTCCTCGACCATTCCTAGTAAAGTCTCATTGTATTCGTGGATTGCAGCTTTGAAACCGGCCAGGTCTTGAATGTTTCGATTTGACGCCTTTTCCAAACGTCGAATAAGACCCGTGTTGTGATTGGTGAACGGCTCAGCTTCGTCCTCGGTGAGATAGGTTTCGGCGACATGGCGAACGATTCTTATACTAGCCTCCACGGCGTCTATTTTATCCTTGCCCCAGACAAGCTCAAACCTAGAAAAGTTCGTTAGTGGTATAACTCTGGCGGGCAGCGGGCGTGGCTGAAAAGACAGAGGGGAGACGCACTTCTCTCTAGGCTGCAAGCTGGGGTACTGCAACTCTATGGCAACATCCTCCTTTTGCGCACCCATGACGGGCACGCATTTCTCTTCCAGCGAAGCGACCTCAACGGCGTGGACAAATTTCAGATTGTCGTTGCGTCCCTCAAAAGCGCGGAAGTGTCTCAGCTTGCGGTTGGAATCCAGATGCTTATCCTCAGAAGTGCCTCTTCGCTGCCTCTTGCGGGTATCCAGGTTCATCCAGCCATCATCCTCGGCGTCGCTATCCTTGTCAAACGTTATACGCTCACTCGCGGGGGACCGCGTCGTGGAGGAAACAGTGCCCGTCTTGCGCTTCCGATCAAGTCGCTTTTCGTCAGACGATGAAGGATTAGGCGAATGACTGGTGTGGCGGACAGCCGAGGGTTTAGGCGACGGACGGTAAACGGGAGACGAGCGCGATGACGAGGCTCCCGCAGAAGCCGGGCCGGGGCGAGATTTCGGCTTCGGTTTGCTCAGGGTCGGGGCACGTTCGACGATAACCTTTTCGATCCGGATCTTGGGCGGATCAACCTTGAACTTGTTTCCCTTGCCGCCGAGGAGAGGCATGGCGACAGAGAGGAAGATGGCTTAAACAGGCTGAAGTCAGAAGTCGATAGCGGGAGTAAGCTGGCTGGAAGTGACTTGGAGGCAGATCGGAGGGGTCAGACAGTTTCTCTGGTTGTGGCGGTTCGCGACAGTCTCTGGTAAATATGTCTTGTGCCTCGTGCCTCGTGCCTTGTGTCTCATGCACTCGGTCAGGTCAAGCCTCGTCGCAACGACCAGCGACAGCGACAACGGCGGGCAGCGTGGGGGTGGTCAGAAGGGTCAAGAAGTGTACAGAAGAAAATACAGAAGAGAAAGAATAATGGGAACAGAATGTAACAGAAACAAAGACAATACTAAAGTCTGGGCTGCTATGCAAAAGAAAATGAGCAGTTTGTGTAAAGTGCCAGGGTTGAGGTGCGACGACGACGAAAAGAGGCGTCGGCCTCGGAGAGCGAGTTGTCTTGCGTGTCTCTGCCTCTTCCGCCTCTGTGGGTGTGTGCGGCCCTGCGCGTGTTCGGGGTGTGCCCAAGAGCGCTAGATGCCGCACAGTGCGCGGGGATTGGCCGCAGGGAAAGGTCCATGCGTACCCAGTGCGGACTGCCGACATACGCACCCCGTACTCGGTGTTATTCAAGGACATCCAGAATACATGCATGCATGGGGACGTCAACGGTTGCACACATCTCATGCACTCTGTCCCGGCTGCCTGGCCGCATGTCCGTGTTGCCTAGGCTACTGCACAGCCCTGGATTAATGGCTTCGGTAGATGCGAAATCTGTGCGACGCCCGCATTTGTTTAGCCACAGCCCGCCCAGTCCAATGTCGAGCAATCAACATGATGAGAAAGAACCAGAGCCTGCCGCCTTGTCTCCCAGGAGCTACCAGCTGCCAGGGAGAGGCTGGATCTAGACTGACCGCACAGTCTCAGCCATCTAGCCAAGAAGCAAACATTCGACCTTGTTGATGCCCGCGCCGATGGCTTTCCCGAAAGGACTGACTTTCTCTGCTGCCAGGCAGACGTCCAGCCCGGCTCGGCAACCGAGACCAACAACTGTTTCCGCCCTGGGCGAATATCGACACGCCGCCGAGCTAAATTTTTGGCCTGGAGCTGATCACATATGCGACGTAGGCTAGCTGTGGCGAGGGGGAATGTCGCAACTCAGGCTCAAGTTTGCTCCATCCGGAACCGAAGCAAGTTCATCCCCGGAGTAGCCACGGGCCTTGGCGATGTTGCCTCCAGCGTTGTTGCAGGCGTGGACTGCGGTCGAGCAGCGCCTGGCTACGTGGGAGTAGACTTGGTGAGTGTTCGTTGAGACATCATTCAGGCTTGTCAACTACGACAATCGAGTGATAAACCTCAAATCTGAAGCTCTGTTTTGTAGATGGACCATAGCCGGACAGTTCTATACCCAACAGTCCTTTACATACGTTCATGTAAATTTGGACATCTCACTGGCCTGCAGCAGAGCTTCCACGTAGACCAACCGGTCCATGTCTGGGCTGGAAGTCCGGCTTTGAGGTGGAATTGCAGACAGCCCACCAGATCGGCCTGTCGATGGTGAATTTAGCGTCTGCTGGGCAGAGGCTAAATTATAGAATGTCTGCTTTCGCCCACGATGTGTGTATGTGGTGGCAGGGGGGCAGCGGCATTAGTACGACATCCGAAGACGGTGATGCAGGGCTATGAGGTGGCCGCGGAAGTCCAGTCATGTCGAGATGCTTCTCATTCTTTAGACACTAGTTCCCGGGATCAAATGCCGCCATCATGGATTGCCATGCCGCGTGGCGGTTGGAGTTTACGTAACCAGGCATGTCGTGAGTCACGAGTCCACGAAGTCATGGAGTGACTGCAAGAAAACATTGAAGAGTATTTGACACCTTTCAGAAACCGCACAAGAATCAATCGACCCTGCAAAGCCACGTTCCTCAAAAATTGACAAAATCGTGGGGCAACTGTTTCGTCAACTCGGATGGTGACGTGGAATTACAAATAGCGGGTAGTAGTATGTCGTACTTTGGAAGCTATCCTCGTATACAGGACCACGATCTTGTACCAGGCAGCAGTGTTTTCAAATCAATGACCAAGGCTGCCACGTTTAGCCTGATCTTCTATGATGTCGGTCTTCTGAGCATGGTAGTCCACTGTTCACTCCGAGCTGCCACTCTTGAGACACTATCAGAGTACAGTCCTGGAACAAAAGAGGCAACTTTCGGATGATAACCGACAAAACGAAAACTTAACCGAGACAGTGTGACGGTTATGTTTAAGAAATAGTTATGAGGCTATGGCATATTGCTTTGCGTTGGTGTTGTCTAAGATTGCGGAGGCAAGAAGGTGTATAGATGCTTGGGCGGTTTTATCCAACAGGTAGAGAAGATCCCAGAGGCGTAAAATCCAGTGTAATGATAATTCACGCCAAGACGCTGAAGGAGATGCCTATTAAGTTTGGGGACTTGTTTGATGTTTTGGAGGAGGAAGTGAGGAAGACGGCAGTGGATAAGGTCTGGTGGCAGAAAGCCAAGCATGGATGGATACCCGCAGAGTCGAAGCTATAGAGAACTCATAGAAAGTCGATGAAGATGCATAGACGGCCATGACTAGATGTTACAGTCTGCTCGCTAGCCGGCAGGTCATTTGTTCAAATCCATAACGTTTATCCTGCACGCGATACAGGCAAGAATCCTCTGACAACAAAGAATTCAAGACATCCATATCCCACTTGAAGATAGACTTGCATTTATAAAGAATCACGGCTTGCGCGTAAACCGTCCGTTGCCCATCGTAGCCAAGTTTCTCGGACAGTTTTGCCTCGTACCGTACTGGAATGAAGAAGTAGTGGTTCGCTTGATTTGCCGCTCGAGGGAGAACTAAAAATTTGAGAGTTAGAAATAAATCCACGCGATTCCTTGCACACGACTCAAAAAAAAGTATTCGTATGAATTAACGGAAAGGGGTTAAAAAAATCAGGCTCAAAAAAAAACTCCCCCGGAAAGGCTCGAACTTTCAACCTTTACGAATTAATGAGTATATTGACGTGTGACATTTCGTGCGATGTTAGAGACTCACCTCCTGATTAACAGTCAGACGCGCTAGCCAATTGCGCCACGGAGGACGAATTTCTAGTTGACGAGACACACCTTAATTAACTACATGACGGGTCTAGCATTGGCAATGAGACGAACCCACCTCTAAGTGGGATAATGGCGTCTTTGATTTGTGCTTGGCAGGCAGGGCATGGGATCCATCCTTCTGGCAACCATCTCTTTCTATATTTTCTTCTGTACACTTCTTGCTGAGGGAGCGAGAATAGCGGCGGTCCAAATTTGTGAGGCTATCGTCCGCAGTTTTCATAGTGCGCTTTTGGTCCTTGCCTCTACTCGGTACTATTTCCGCGACATTGGCGGTATAGCTTCTGCTTTAGCCTGGTGTATCCTTGTTCGGTGAAATGACCTGGCTGATGATTCGATTTGATCCTACCCTACACCTTGGCTGAGGTTGGAGACGGACCGGCAATTCCCTACTCTCAGCAATGTCAAATCAGTTCGTAGACGGGTCAAAAATCAAGGCATCAGATTTAAATGGACTCCTACTGCCTAAATTCAGAGTCTGTTGTTAGGATCCTAGGATGACTGAGTGTCGGTTGACGCATTCTGAGATGACAGCATCTAGACTCTCGCCAACCTCGAGCTTTGGCTCACTTTATCTCCACAGGGTATCACAAGAGTTCCGCGAGGATACGATCGTCATGGGAATGCCAGATGTCAAGATAGAATGGCTCCATTCACCAAATATGCAGGCATCTCCTGGAAGTGTCATGGCATGAAAGTAAACACTACCGGTTCCATTGTTTGGTTGTGAGACTCTTAGACAGAACAGCAGCTAAACAGTAGGAAACGCGCAGATAAGGTGAGCAGAGCCCAAAGAAGCCCTGGAGGCACGAGAGACATTGTAGAACAGGTGGAGGGATGAGAACATGGAGAATACTTTCCATATCCAATCCACCCGCGACCACCTGGAAGTCTGTGGTGCTCCTAGGGCACAATAACGCGGGCGCTCAGCAACAATTCCTCCGTGGCGCAATTGGCTAGCGCGTCTGACTGTTAATCAGGAGGTAAGATATCCGAATATATCTGATATCTAGTGACGAAATAATGTTAACATAATTCCAAGGTTGAAAGTTCGAGCCTTTCCGGGGGAGACTCATTTTTTTGTTTAATTTGGCTGTAATTTTTAGACTTTGCTATTAAGACATAAGAAGAGGCCCGTGTTGCAACGATTCCTCCGTGGCGCAATTGGCTAGCGCGTCTGACTGTTAATCAGGAGGTGAGTTTCCATACATTCGCATGGAGTGTGTAGCAACGCAACATACTAATCCAATTTCATAGGTTGAAAGTTCGAGCCTTTCCGGGGGAGGTCATTTTTTTTTTTGATAATTTCTTTTTATATTAATTCTTCACCATTGACCAGCCAGGCGATGGCTGATTGAGCTTTCACGGCTTCGCAATCGTTCATTAATACTCCATGAGGATATTTGTTTTTTTGTCATTCAATAGAATACAATACCTGCATTGTAGTCCTGAACAAGTCCCACGGTTTGACGAAAGTCGTTGACATGAGGCACCCATACATCCCTGTTTCGAGGGCAAAACTTGCAGAAATTGTTGTGGTCGCCCTTTATCCTTGCCTGCTTCATGGAGTTGAGACCAAAAAAAAAAACCAACTCCCTGGCTGTATGCCCCGTACCTCTCAGATAAGAAGACTTCAAGGGCACAAAAGTGCAAATTTCTGTCATCACCATTTCAGACCTATGTGTCCCACTACACAATTCTGCCGTTGACCTATATCATGAGCGCTTTTTCCGCATGCGTCCCCAAGCAGCCAGTGTGGCCTCAAAGTCTTCGTAGAATTCTCAAGGCAAGATACCTGGACTCGGTTCTCCTTCAACCCAGGCGGCGTCTCATATCTGCATACACGGATATGCAGATGCCTTCCATCCTATGCAGAATACAGGGTTTTCCCTCGAGATACAGCTAGTGGTATGCTTCGTCGCGGTCGTTGAGCAATCTCGATATCATCTACATCATCTAGCTGGTCAACCAGTGTGTTGAAATCTTTAACGGCTGTAATGCCTCCAGCACGGATAAAAGACGTACAACAGTTGCCGTCTGCATGATTGTGAGGTATTTTGAGAGCAAGTCGATTTGCTGGGTCGTCTGGCGCTGCGTCTCTGGCATAATAGTCCCCATGGCTGTCACTATCCACCGACAAAAAGGCCTGCAAATGGATCGGCTGCCTGGCTTTACAACAGCAGAGAGGTATTCCCTGAGAAGTCGTATGCGCAAGTTGCCGATGATGACGAGGCGAGACGTTCCTCTGTAAGAAACTACGTTCCTCATGCATCCGGCGATAATTTTGTGTAGTGTCCGCGCTGTCTTCGTAGCCGACCCGGCAGCCTGGCGCCGCAGGCAAAGTGCGGCAAAGGATGCGCGAAACTCGCTATTGCTAGAGTGATGCAGGTCCGAAAAGGCTCTTGACAGAGAGCGATAGTACTCCCGCATCGTTGCATCTGGCGAGCGCATCGACGCTGCAAACCGGTCTCGTCTTTCCATCGGTTCTTCCGAGAGATGCCCTGGTGCCCCTTGCCACAGAGTTTTGGACACATTGAGCCCTCGACCCAAGCGAGAGTCTTGTGCTGCCGCGTATTTATAAGCCTCGGAAAAATGATAAGACTTTAAATCAAGGGACAGCCTCAAAACTCCAACAGATTCATCTCTGTCTCTGTTGCAGTGTCCGCGTACGACAAGATGATGAGTACTGAATTCATGTCTGTCTGCGAAGTCCCCTGTGTAATGGTGATGGGAGGGATGCTTGTGGCGATACCAAGAATGTCGCAATTGGCATAGATTACCCATGCCAAGTTAATGATTTGGTCGCCATGGACAATAAAAAAGCGTAGGTACATTCCGCGCCTCGAAGCTGAGAGGTCTGCTGCAAGGCCGGTGAAACTAGTCTGCCATTGGAAATGCAGCGACATACATCAAATGAAGGAAGAAAATTTTTTTTCTCGGTATGTCTAGTATGACATGCCAACCTGATTTTGGGGACTAGCCTCGTGGTCAAGTAAACGAAAGATCCCAGGGCGGCAAACTGACTGTGACACACTCCAGCAACTGTGCATATCTGGGAACCTGGATTTGCCATGACGATGAATACACAGAGGACTTATTTCAATATGCCTTGCTTTTGATGTAAGAAGACGTTGTATCTAATTAATGTAAACTAATATTTCTTGCCCTTATCATGGTACCTCATTACTGTAACTGTAGTTTACTTATAGGCCCTTGGTAGAACTTGTACGCCCCTAGGTTGTTTGGTTCAATTATCTACGCCTGCATTTATTTAGTTGTCGTTTCGTATACACAAGTATTTGATCGGCTGGTATAGATCAATTTTGTACGCTTTCCGGACCCCTATTGTGACTTGGACGGCCACGGAGACCATGGTGTGCTCTGGCGTGTCATTCGGGCCAACACACAAAAGGCATTCACTGATACAAGTTGCGAGGACCCCTAGATACGAGTGAGACTGTGCGAGAAAGCTCTTCCAGTGAAAAAAGTGACTCTGTAGTGGAAATCTGTTCATGATCCCCCCAAAAGGTCAATGGGTTTGTCACCACGAAACGATTTGCGGATTCTCTTGACTACACTTGACAGCAACCCGTTGTCATTATGTAATGCCGTCAACAGAGGACAAGCCGCCAGACCAATCAATCTGCAGGCAAATTATCTCCCTGCCTCATGGCACTCTCTAAGCACTCGGTAATGACGGTAAGATATCGATCCACAAACGGCAGCCCTGGGGAGCCTCATTCACGTCAAACGTGGCGTTTATGCCGGTCCCGCATCTCCATCTCGCCACGGCGATTTGACCGGACCAAGACGCACCGCACGGTCCTGGGCGTCCTTTCGCAAAAGAGCGGATGAACCACCAACTCTAGGCCAAGTCGGGGCTCAATCCAGAAATCCATAGCCCAATTTAAATGAAGGCATCGGCGAAAGCGTCCCTAGAGGACTAGATGGGCAGCTGGGCAGATGGAGACACTGGCTGTTGAAGATGGGATCCAGGGCCCTCTTCCCCTCATTCAGCTTGACGGATGGCGATGGCCAAAGGGCTTGGAGTGGGAAGAAACAAGGGTCAGGGTGCCCAGCAAGGCAAAATCGTGCCTTTCTTTGCAATCGTGGAAATGTGTTCGGTCGAGACCAGGCGTTTGGATCAAGGCCAGTTTCATCTTGCCCCATGGAACCCCCCATCGACCTCCCCAACAAATCCCATCAGCTGCCAAGTTTTTTGTCTGATTTCCTTCCATGCTCCCTTGGACATACAGGTACGCGGGACACTATGAGACACAAGGTGCCTGACCATCAGGCACTATACTGTTCGGCACGCCTCCAAGCCATGGCACTTCACTTTGAACCCATTACTCTCACCTAGGACCACCAATTCGGCCTGCGAGCTCAAGTGATAGACCGTGCTCTACTCCGTATTTCAGAGTGTACCGTGTGGACCGAATCCTCGTGGTGGGTGTTGGCTTCCACGCTGGTATTTCTCCTCGACTCAGTAGTCGGAGGAACTAGAAATAGCCAGCGCAACTACGATTTTTAGCGTAGTGAATAATGAATAATGCTAGTAAGACTTGCTGTATCTTTCATAGGGGGCGTCGGGATAGGGCTGGGTGAACGAACCATCCTTGGCAAGTATCCTTGCTTGCGAGGAAGGGAAGCATTGTCTTGGGGAGCTGTGCAATTTTTCCGTCGGGTATAATTCGACGGAGACGAGAGGGCGCTTTACAAAAAGAGGAAAAAAAAGGAAGGAAAGAAGAGAGAGGAAAAAAAAAGGGAAAGAGCAAGATCCCAGATTCATCATCTTCTGTCAGCGCCAACAACGGCATCCGACTCCGAACCCTCAACCGAGTGGAAACCAACCAAAAAGAAGAAAGAGGAATCGCCAGTCATCTACGGAGTAATATGCCGCGCATTCATCACAGCCTTCCCCATGATTTTACTCTGGGGGCCTGGTGGCTCCCCCAAGTCCCGCCACCATCTGCAACGGCACTCGGGCGCACTCCAACTTGGCCGACGCCAGCGCTCTCCCGTGGCGGTAAACTGCAAATCTACAAGAATCCAGGAGGGCCCTTCTCCCGCCTGGTCGGAAACCGGGACTGGGAAGATGAAGGAGGTGTGGCGGGGCCCCAACCCAGCTTGCCTTGCGGTGGCATCGAGCTTTACACTGCGCGAGTCCTAAGGCAAATTGAGACTCCAATTCAAAACAGGATTCTCTGTTGCGGCGAGGAACTCTTGGGTTTCAATTTTGCAATGTTGCGTCCAACGTTTCTTTCCCCCCCACATGTGCGTGTACAATTAAATATACATGCATACCCTCGGAGGAACATCCTTGGGGGGAATTAATACCCTTGGGGCATGGCATGATTTTCTCTGCCATGACGCCGGCAATGCTATTCCGCAGTCGAGCAAGCCGCGTACTGCGGGCGAGGAGAAACAAAAACCACCGGACAAAATCCATCCCATTGACCCATGATCCCGGGCGGATGGGGGGCAGCAGATCAATTGATGTCACCCATACACACATACATGAAGTACCGTCTGAGGGCAGATGGGCAAAGTGCTGGTGGACCCCCGATTTGACGGCAAAAGGCACGAGACTGATTTTGAGTTGCTTCAAGTGGCCCGCGGTGGCGGTGGATGAGCTGGATATGGCTTCCAACGGCTTAAGTCCACCATACATCTCCTGTTGCTGTTCCTGTCCCTGTCAGGCGCTTTCCCCTACTGCCTGAGAAACGGGACCATGTTTGTATGGAGGAGGTGGTTGCTACCGGGGGAAGACTGGAAGACTGGGAGGAACGAGGCTTAAAAAACAGAGTGTATCAATTGGGGATTCGGAAATCGCCTTTGGTCCTTACGCTCCAACACGTCACCTAGTCCTGCATCTTCCACTGCCCTACGAGAGACACTTGGGTCTCACATCCCGACATCTCAAAAGTGAAAAAGGTAAGTAAGACAGGGCGACGACAGGCAAGGCAAGGCCATTCCCACGTCAACTTGACTGGCAGAGAGCGCAGCGGCCGAGTTGAAACTACGACTCTGGATGCCGCCATCCCCCCGTCTCCCATCGTCCCATCGTCCACCCGCCATCATCCATCCTTCCGGTTCGCCCCATGTTGGCCTGCCTAGAAACTCCCCACCATTTCGTCGACCCCAGTTCTCCACAGGAGGTCCAAAACCACCGAGCAGGCGCTTAATCGCAGCCCGGCCCTTTCCCTATCACACCAGCCTGACCAGCCTGACCAGTCTGACCAGTCTCACCCTTGTCGAGGCGCTCTTTTGCAACCCCTAGCA